ACCCCAAGACACTTATCAATTAAAAGAAAGTATTTTATTTGCTATTAATTAACAATGAGTCTTCATTTACAAAGCACAATTAGAAAAATTCAAAAATTATAAATATTATTTAATTTTAAATTCTTAGAGAGTGGCATCATTTAAATAAAATTATTTTCCAATTAACAAAAACTATGATTGATTTGGATAATCAATATACATATAAAAATGTTTCTAATTACTATAAAAGTAATAGTTTATCACCAAGAAATAAAAAATATTAATTATTTAATAAGAAAAGTTTTTTTAAATCTTCTTTTTTATTTTCTTTTTCTGTTCCTTTTGTTATTTTTTCTTTTACCACCCATAGTGAGATTTTTATTTTTATTTTAGTTAATGTGATATTAATAATTGATATAAATCTAATAATTAAACTTTCCAAATTACTTCAATCAATTATTTGATTTACATAGTTGATATGGAGTCGTCGGATGGCTCGACTTATGGAGCAATCTAAATTTATTCACCAATAATGTATTAACATGTGTCTTACAATAAATACACTTTGGACAAGTGTCAATACATTAATTAGTTGATGGCTTCATAAGAAAACCATCCGATGGCTCCATAGAATTTTTGTTCTACAGAATCTTTTTATATTTATTTTTAGTGATGTAATTATAATAACTTGAGATCAGTACTTATTTCTAAGGGATAATTATTTTTAAATTGTTAGTAAATAAATTAGTTATTTTGCAAAGAAACAAAATTAAATTTATTATTTAATATTAATTAAAAAAAGTTAGCATAAAGTTAATTAAATAGTTATTCATAATTTATGGGTCAATATTAACTTGGACGTAAATAAAATAGTTAATTATTTATATTTTAAGAGGCTACTCAACAACTTAATTTTTCTTTATTTGGATAGTTTATCCAAAAATAAATTTATTCTAATTAATGAAACAATATTTTTAAATATATGATAAAATTTTATCAAAATAATTATTTTATGAAATCACATTGTAGTTCAATTGAATTTCTGAATAAAAATCCTAAACGACACTAATTTTTTGATATGAATATTACGTAATTTATTATCATTTACGTGCATAGTACGAATTGTGTACTAATTTTATATAGACACTTTTATGTAATTTTGCACAATTTAAATTTTATGTAGCATTTTTAATAAATTAATATAGATAAATTCTATTATATATTGATTATATATTTTTAATTTATATATATTATTTAATGAGCATTTTTAATTATAAATACATGTGCACTGCACGGGATTCGTACTAGTTTAATCTATCATTATATAAAAAGAATAACATTTTTTATAAATTTAAAAAATTTTTCTCGCCATAATCATTAAATATATCCTATATATAGTAATTGTTTGACAATTGTAAATAGGCACAAAATCGGCTCTTTAATTGCATTGTTTCCTTAATTCTAGCTTGCAACAATAAATCCGCTTGCAAAAATAAATCTGATAGGCTTGTGGTCTAAACTTTCCCATAAAAAAAAATTGGAATTTTTGTTTTTCTTTTGGTTCCATACACTCGGACTGTACAAAAAAACCCCATATGGTAATCTTACAGGTAAAGTTAAAAAATCTCATCGCTTATGTACCTACTCTAACATATTTTTTAAAAAAAATTATCGTAACCGATTTTTTTTCTTAAAAAAGTTAATTCACTCTAAAGTGTAATTGCTAATATAAATCTCGAGGTCAGAATTTTTTTAACAAGTTTGGAGATATATCAAACATTATTTGGACAAAGATTAAGGAGTATATATATATATATAGTATATATATATATATACTATATATATAGTTTCTTTAAAAAATAGTTTAGATAGTGGTTTCAAACATTTTCCAAGGATGATATAAATTATATTATATACTTTTTATAAATGTGTAATATAATATTTAATTAGATGTTTTTAATATATATATAATATATATATATATATATTACGAGAATAAGATTTATCATATATTTCTCCCCCAAAAATATTAAATACACATAATAAAAAGATAATAGAAAAAAATGCAGATTAAATATTGTCTTCAATTTCTGTCTTATTATCACTTATATATAAAACTCCATTTTATTTTCTTACATTTTACATTAATCTCGATCTGTATTTGTAAAATTAATAAATCTGCATAAAGCGTGAAATTATGCGTAACAACTTATAAAAAAAATAATAAAAAATACCGCCACAATTCTCGGTATCATGTCATTATTTATTTTATATACAAGTGGTAAATTTTCTTTCAAAAAATTTATAATGTTATTATTTAGGGTTATGATATTTTAGATACTTTTATATAATATAATGTTATTATTTAGGCTTATGATATTTTAGATACTTTTATATAATATTTTATCATGTCGTATTATATCTATATATACATATACACATATATATACATATTAAATTTAAATATTTTTAAACATGTTTTCTTTACAACAGAGTTTAGAAAACATCTTTCATATAAATGTAAAATTTAAATATTTTTTTAAACATGTTTTCTTTCCAAAATAGTTTTAAAAAAATTGTAGGTGATTTTACATCTTTTAATAATAATACATAAACTTTTACATACTTTTACATGTTTTTAATATTTTAAACATGCAAACTTTATGTTTTGTTATACAAGTTAATTTTATATTACTGATACGGTAAATTATATCACATGTTAACCTCACATATTTAATTTATAATATTTATTTTTCTCTTTTAAATAGGATAATAATGGTTCTCCACCACTCGACACTTATTTATAATTATAATTTATACTAGTATTTACTCGTGAATAGCACGGGATTACGCACATAATAACTTGAATGGCAATTAATAAAGCCCAACGACACAATGGCAACCAAACACAACCTTAGCAGTAGTAGTGGTATGACGTAAAGCTTTCAAAAAAATAGAATTTCGGGCTGAGAAAA